AACATGACTGTTCCTTCTTGACCAATGACTTTTTCCCTGAAGCACCGATAGTGCTTTTTCCAAAAGTTTGCTAGATGTTCTCTTGTTGCTGCAAATTTTGTGAACTGGCCTGAGCGCTCAGACGCTGTAAGTCTATCCTGTGCTGCTTCCTCGTTTTCGTAAGCACCATGCTGCCGGCCTGGTTTTAACTGAAGATGAGCATATTTTTAACAGACAGTCATTTCGTTTGTTTAGCTTCATTGTTACGTTGACTATTCCTCTCTCGTATTTTTAATTAATTACGAGGCCTTGTCTTTACTTTCTTTTTTTCCTCCTTTTTACTTTCCACTGGATTAATAAAGCTTTCGTTCTAAGTTTTTCTTTTCTTTGGTTTGAAGTTATCTCCACTTTTGTTCGTTTGTAGTTACCTCCAACTGGATGTAAAAGTCAAAAGTTAACTAGAATCTCCATCTTCTGTTCCAACAACACAAGGATTTCAGGCACTAATGCCAGCTCACACAAGTTCTTTTTATTGTTAATTGGTATTCTGATGCCCACCTTGTTTTAACCCCTGTCAAAGTTATCTATTTAAAATTTTTACATTTGGTGCTTTTTTTTTTTAAAGCATATAATTTTATTTATTTTTTAAAATTTAAATCCAAAATATTAACATAGCGTTAATAATAATTTTGTGAATTTATGGGATTCATCAGTTACATACAACACCCAGTGTTTATTCCAGTAAGTGTCCTCCGTAATGTCCTTCTCCCATTTAGCCCATCACCAACTACCAGCTCCCCTCCAGCAACCCCCTCAGTTTGTTCTCTTTCATATTTAAGAACTTTGTGTTTATTTTGTTATGTTATTTCTTTTTACCTTCCCTAATATTCATTTGTTTGTATCTTTAAATTCCACATGTGGGGACCATATGGTATTTACTTTTTCTGACTTAATTTGTTTAGCATAATACACTCTAGTTCCATCATGGTTGCAAAATGGCAAGATTTCATCTTTTTGATCGTCGGTAATATTCCACCGTGAGCGTATAAACCACATCTTCTATCCATTCATCAAATGATGCACATTTGGGCTTTTTCCATACGTTCTTGTCAATAGCACTGCTATAAACATGGGTACCCTTTGTCTGAATCAGCACCTGTATCCTTTGGATAACACGGTAATGCAATTGTATTGGTAGGTGTTCTGTTTTAATTTTTTTGAGGAACCTGTTCTTCCAGAGTGGCTGCACCAGTTTGCATTCCCACCAACGGTGCAAGAGGGTTCCCATTTTCCACATCATCGTCAGCATCTGTTGTTTCCTGAGTTGTTAATTTTAGCCATTCTGACAGGTGTGAGGTGGTATCTCATTGTGGTTTTGATTTGTATTTCGATGATGAGTGATGTGGAGCATTTTTCTGCAAAATGTTGGCCATCTGGATGTCTTCTTTTGGAGAATTGTCTGTTTTGGCCCATTTTCAATGTACCGGATTATTTGTTTTTTGGGTGTTGAGTTTGATAAGTTCTTTTTCGATTTTGGATAATAACCCTTTATCTGATACGTCATTTGCAAATATCTTCTCCCATTCTGTCGGTTCCTGCGTTTTAGTGTTGCTGATCGTTTCCTTTGCTGTGCAGAAACTTTTTATCTTGATGAGGTCCCAGTAGTTCATTTTTGTTTTTGTTTCCCTTGCCCCTGGAGACGTGTTGAGTAAGAAGTTGCTATGGCTGAGGTCAGAGAGGTTGTTGCCTGTGTTCTCTTCGAGGATTCTGATGGCTTCCTGTCTTCTGTTCAGGTCTTCTACCCATCTTGAGTTTGTGTCTCGTGTGGTCCACGTTTATTCTTCTGTATGTCACTGTCCAGTTTTCCCAGCACCATTTGCTGAAGAGACTTTTTTCCACTGGATACTCTTTCCTGCTTTGTCAAAGATAAGTTAGCCATATGTTTGTGGGTCCATTTCTGGGTTCTCTATTCTGTTCCATTTATCTATGTGTCTGTTTTTGTGCCAGTACCATACTGTCTTGATGCTTACAGCTTTGTAACACAGATTGAAGTCCGGAATCGTGATGCCTCCAGCTTTGGTTTTCTTTTTCAGGATTGCTTTGGCTATTTGGGGTCTTTTCTGGTTCCATACAAATTTTAGAATTGTTTGTTCTAGCTTTGAGAAGAATGCTAGTGTTATTTAGATAGGGAGTATTGACATTTTAGCAATATTGTTCTAATCCATGAGTATGGGATGTTTTTCCATTGTTTTGTATCTTCCTCAGTTTCTTTTATAGGCTTTCTGTAGTTTTCAGTGTATAGATTTTTCATCTCTTTGGTTAGGTTATTCCTAGGTATTTTATGGGTTTTGATGCAATTGTAAATGGGATCGATTGCTTGATTTCTTTCTGCTCCTTCATTATTGGTGTATAGAAATACCACCGATTTCTGTGCATTTGTTTTATATTCTGTGACTTTGCTGAATTCATGGATCAGTTCTAGCCGTTTTTAGGTGGAAACTTTTGGGCTTTCCATATAGGGTATCATGTTGTCTGCAAAGAGTGAAAGTCTGACTTCTTCCTGGCCGATTTGGATGCCTTTTATTTCTTTGTGTTGTCTGATTGCTGAGGCTAGGACTTCCAACACTGTGTTGAATAACTGTGGTGAGAGTGGACATCCGTGTCGTGTTCCTGACCTTAGTGGGAAGGCTCTCCATTTTTCCCCATCGAGGGTGATGTTAGTGGTGGGTCTTTCGTATATGACCTTTATGATCTGGAGGTATGATTCTTCTATCCCTATTTTCTTGAGGGTTTTTATAAAAAAGGATGCTGTAATTTGTCAAAAGCTTTTTCCGCATCTGTTAAGAGGATCATGTGGTTCTTATCCTTTCTTTTATTAATGTGATGTGTCACATTGATTGGTTTGCAGATATTGAACCAGCCCTGCATTCCAGGAATAAATCCTACTTGATCGTGATGAATAATTCTTTTAATGTATTGTTGGATCCGGTTTGCTAGTATCTTGTTGAGAATTTTTGCATGTATATTCATCAGGGAAATTGGTCTGTAGTTCTCCTTTTTAGTAGGGTCTTTGGTTTTGGGATCAAGGTAATGCTGGCTTCATAGAATGAGTTTGGAAGTTTCCCTTCCATTTCTATTTCTGGAACAGCTTCAAGAGACTAGGCGTTAACTCTTCTTTAAGCGTTTGGTAGAATTCCCCGGGGAAGCCATCTCTTGTCTGTTGGGGGATTTTTGATTATTGATTCAATTTCTTTACTGGTTATGGGTCTGTTCAAATTTTCTATTTCTTCCTGTTTCTAGGTAGTGTATATGTTTCTAGGAATTTGTCCAATTTGTCCAGATTGCCCAATTTGTTGGCGTATAATTGTTCATAGTATTCTCTTATTTTGTTTTTATTTCTGCTGTGTTGGTTGTGATCTCTCCTCTTTCATTCATGATTTTATTTATTTGGGTCCTTTCCTTTTTCTTTTTGATCAATCTGGCTAGGGGTTTTTATCAATTTTGTTAATTCTTTCAAAGAGCCAGCTCCTGGTTTCATCAGTCCGTTCTGTTTTTGTTTTGTTTTGTTTTTTATTTCTGTATCATTGATTTCTGCTCTAATTATTTCCCTTCTTCTGCCGGTTTGGGGCTTTGTTTGCACTTCTTTTTCTAGCTCTTTTACATGTAAGGTCACGTGTCTTTGAGACCTTTCTTCCTTCTTTAGGAAGGCCTGGATTGCTATATACTACCCTCTTATGACCGCGTTTGCCGCATCCCAAAGGTTTTGGGCTGTCGTGTTTTCATTTTCATTGGCTTCCATGTAATTTTTAATTTCCTCTTTAATTTCTTGGTTAACCCATTCATTCGTTAGCAGGATGTTCTTTAGTCTCCAAGTATTCATGGTCTTTCCAAATTTTTTCTTGTGGTTGATTTCAAGTTTCATAGCGCTGTGGTCTGAAAATAGGCAAGGTATGATCTCGATCTTTTTTTACTTAAGGGCTGATTTGTGTCCCAGTATGTGATCTATTCTGGAGAACGTTCCATGTGCACTGGAGAAGAATGTATATTCTGCTGCTTTAGGATGAAATGTTCTGAAAATATCTGTTAAGTCCGTCCGGTCTAGTATGTGATTCAAAGCCATCGTTCCCTTGTTGATTTTCTGCTTAGATGGTCTGTCCTTCGCGGGAAGTGGGGTGTTGAAGTCCCCTACTGTTATGGTACTATTTTCAACGAGTTTCTTTATGTTTGTGATTAATTGATTTACATATTTGGGTGCTTCATGTTGTAAATATTTACAGTTGTTAGATCTTCTTGGTGGATAGACTCCTTCATTACAATATGATGCTCTTCATTTCTTGTTGCGTGTTTATTGTGAAATCTTGCTTGTCTGATATGAGTATGGCTACTCCAGCTTTCTTTTGACCATTAGCACGATAGATGGTTCTCCATCCCCTTTAAATCGGCGCTTTTTAGATTTGCCCACATGTTTACTGGTTTCTTTGATTCGTGCTTCTCTAATCTTCACGCTGTTCTCTTTCGTTCTTACTGAACCACATTCTCTGGTAGTTATTTCAGCAAGGGCCTCCCAACCGGAAACTGCCCGCCTTTGCCCCACAGTTCCCTTTCCCCATCTTGGCGCTTCTGAACAGCAGCGTGGCCGAGTAGACGTCTCAGATGTCTTCGTTGTCCTTCCTCGCATTGAGTGCTCTTGGTTTAAGAAGAAAGTATCCATTTGAGAGGTAGAGAGGGTCTTCTGCTTTAACTTGCATTCCTTTTGTAATCAGCAAGATAGATCGCCTTCGGGTTTGCTGGTCCTTGCCCCTCCCCTGTGTCGGAGGTGACAGCTGTCTAGTCTGTGCCCTCTCGCCGCGTTGAAGCGCCGACTCCTTTGTTGCGGTCATTGCGAATACTTTCGCCCAGAGCGATTACTAAATCCGGCCACGGGAGAGGAGGTCGGGGGGTTGCCCGAAGAACCGGCCTCGAGGGAGAGTTGATCACTGGGCCTCAGTGACACTCCTCCCGGCCGGGCCCTCCTGCAGGGTCCAGCCTGCTGTTGTTACAGGAGAACCCCTGCCTGCTGGGGCTGCTCTGCCACGTGCTGAAGCCCCAGGACCTGAGTCCCAGAGTCCTCGCCTTCTCCCTCCGCCTCGCGGGCATGCTTGCAGCCCAGGAAGATTGCTTCCAGTACCTTCAGGTGAGCCTGGGCCCTCCCACTGAGAGGCCCACCGGGAAGTACACGGCTTTCTTCTGCAGGCGCACAGAGCAGCGGCGGCTGTCGTGACCCTTGGGTCTCTGAGACGTGGCTTGCCCCGTGTTTTGACGTGCACCACGGGATTTTTTTCCTCAGCGTAATCCTTCTTTGAAAAACTGACCGGGAATGACGGGATGAAGGGGTAGAGTTTTTGAAGTAACACAGAGCTGGGGTTGACTCAGCTCTGACACCTGCCCTCCGAGCCTCAGTGTCTTCCTGTGACGGAAGGAGAGCTGTGCGTGTCACGTAGACCGTCACGAGGCTTAACCGAGAGCATCTGTCCAGCACTTAGTCCTGTGGGACGGATGAATGAGGGCCTAGTGAGGATTTCTACTGAGTAATAAGGCAGGGGGCTTGGAGAGCCGCCCCCCCCCCCCCCCCCCCCCCCCCCCGCCCCAGCTGTGCGTCCAACAGCTCTTCACAGTCCCGGGCAGGCACAGTGGGGTTTGTGAGGCGACGCCTGCCATACGCCTGTCTGGCCCTGTGACGGCACCCCTGGCTCCTCGGAGCCTCACGGCTCACCTGAAGGCTCACCAGCTTCCTCTGGCGCAGTGTGTGAAGGGCCCCGGGGAGGCCATGCCGGGATGGAGTCGCTCGAAGAGGGGACAGTAGCGGGGAGGGATGTGTCCTCTCAGTAACTCTGGGTGCCATTCTCGGACGTTGCTCGCTTGGGCGATGCGGTCTCCCGAGAGGCACAGCCCGGCACCGACCGGCCCGCCGTGGGACCCACCACAGCGTTCCGGGGCGCGTCTTTGCTGTTCTCGTGGGATCGTACGGTAACCCTCACGTGCCTGCAGAGCTTGCAGCTTAGCTCTTCAGGGTTTGCAAGGTCACTTTCATTCCATCCTAGGAGCCCTGGCCAGTCGGCAGATCAGCACTCTTTATCTCTATTTCCTAGACAAGGGAATGCCGGGGGGCTTAGTGCGAGAACCCCGCAGAAGCGGCAGAACTCACACTAGACCCTAGAGAGTCTGCTGCTGGCTGTAAGCAGGGACGAGGGGCCCAGGCCGGGTGCGGGCTCTCAGTCGTCAGCGAAAGGCTGCCCTCCTGTCTGCTGGGCCCGCAGCACTGGGCTGGCCTCCTGTCCCTTTGTCAGCTGCCCCTTCACAGCCCCACGGGCTCCTGGTCAGCCAGTTGTTCAGCGGGGGCCAGCGTCTAGGCGGGGAACCTACAGACCGACGATGCAGGGAAGGGGGTGGCAGAGTCTTTGTGCTGCCCGCTGGCTACGATCTGCCCTGGGGAGGGGCTGTACCTGTAGGAGGGTCCCCCTTGGGTGACCGCAGATCCACTGCCAGTGGCACCCCTCTGGGGCCCGCGGCCATCATAGAATTAGACTCTTAGCCGTAGGGGATTGGAATCTGTCTCTTGAGTCTTGTCCCTTATCCTGGAGTCTGAGGTGATTGGACAGTTCCTGTACCTTGAGGGTCGGCCATCGTTGAGCAGGACGCCCTGTGGCCCAGGCAGGGCGCAGGCTTTGACCACATTTCTTTTGCGGGGGTAGGAGAGGCTCAGAGTGAATAACTGCTCCAGCGAGCAGCTCTGTTCGTAAGAGGCAGCATCAGGCTTCCCTCGTGTCGTGTGGAAACCCAGGAGTGAACAAGGATGTGATGCCCGTGGTAGGAAGTGTAGGACAGTGTGTGATTGTACCGTACGTGTCCCTAAGCCAGTGGAGCTTGAGTGGGGAGTTAGCCACTGCCGGCTTGCGGGGGTGGTGTCAGCTTTGTGGGGGCAGTGGGCTCGCAGCTGGGTTGTAAAGGTTTGAACAGGTGCAGGGAGCGGGGCCTGACGCAGGTGTGCGGGGCATCGGGGTGGGGGGACACCTGGAGGAGGGTGGCCGCCTTGGTGGACCCACATGCCAAGCTCAGGAGTTCGGTGGTCTGTGGAGACCGTTGAGACCCCGTGAGCACAATGTCACGGTCACAGGTGGACGTTTGGAGACGGAGCTCGTGGTTCTGTTTTCAGGGCGAGGATTTGTGAAGTAAACCGACAGGAGTGACGGACCTTTGTTTACAACCCCGTTCTGCCCCAAAAGCTGTGTCCTGCAAGGCAGACCTGGCATTGCTGGGGCTGGTGTGGCTGTGCCGGTGGCCACTGCCACTTCCCGGAGGCACGGCTGCCTGGGGGCTTTTCGTGTGGCAGTGATTGAGAGAGCTCCCCGAGGAAGTGCCTCGACCAGCCCTGAATGGTAGAAAAGCCACCTCTGAAGTGCCCGTCTCCCAGGAACCTGCCCAGGTCACCGCTTCCTTCTCCGCTTCCCAGCAGGGGGAGTTGCTGCCCAGGCTCTTTGGGGAGGCAGGACCCCTCGGAGGCGCCGCCTGGACCGCCCCCAGCGTGCGCAGCGGCTGGATCCAGGGCCTGCGCTCCCTGGC